TGTGCTTCTTTCACACGGTTTGTGTTTTGCATGCCTTGCGCTCATAGGAAGTATGCCGTCGTTTTACACAGCCGGGCCCGACGGAGGCCGGCGGCCCTGACAAGGGATAGGCTCGTGGGGGCAAAACCAGGCGGCGCCGTCGGCCGCCTGCGCCGCCCACGCCGCTTGTGCCGAGCTTGGCCTTGGCGCGGGAACGGCCCGCCACGCACGGATGCCAGCCGCCGCCGCCGCCGCCATCGCCGCGTGCCCCCCCTGTGGCGCCCGCGCCGTGACGCTAGTTGCGGCCGCCGTCGCCTCGCCGGGCGGAGCGGAGGTCCTCTCGGCGGTTGCAGCTGGTGTGGTTGCGGCGGGGTATGGTTAGCGATCTGCGTCGTGTGGGTTGGGGGGGCGCCACATTGCCCTCGTCGGGACTCTTCGGGGTTCGGCGGGGAGTTCCGTCGAGGTCTTTTTCCGCCCCCCAGGGTGCGCGTTGCAAAACACACCCGTTTGAAACCACACCCTTCGAAGTCGCCAGTTTTCCTCCAGGGCATCGACCCCGCATCGCCCACTGATCGCCGATAGGGGATTGATAATCCAAGGGCGCCTTCGAGGGCGCATAGTTATTCGCGCTTCGCGCTACGCGCTTCGCGGTTCGGCTCCGATTCCTCATCCTCCTCTTCTCCCCTGGGAGGCGGCACGAGAGCGCGAAGTTCTTCGCACTTCGCGCTTCGCGCAGCGCGAAGCGCGAAGTTGGGAGCCCTTGTAACCCACCCCGCCCAGGACCGTTCGGTTTTGCTGGGGGGCCCATGGAAGAAGTGTTCGCAGTTCTGGTGTCGGCACCACTTTCCGCTCGGACGGCCAGGACGGGGTCTGTCTCGGTGCATGCCTGTTTCGGTGCGTCGGGGGGCCCCATCGGCGTTTCGAAACCTACTCGGTCGAAGGACCTCACCATAAGCGAGGAAAGAGCGCGTTTTGTGGACGCTGGGAAGGTGGGTGGGGAGGGAGGGATTCGACCCACCCCCGTCCCCCTTTAGAACTGCAAGAGGATGGGGCGACCTGGCTCCCCACTCCCCCCGCCCTCGGCCCCCACCCTTTGCCAATTGCAATCGACGACGACGTCGACGATGACGACGACTCAGACGACGAAGATGACAACGCCGACGATGACAACGACACAGACGTTAACGTTGACGACGACCATGACGACCACGACGACGATGACGACGCCGCCGACGACGACGACGACGACGACGACGATGACGACGACGACGACGACGACGACGATGACGACGACGACGACGACGACGACGGCGACGACGACGACGACGACGGTGACGGTTACGCCAGTGACGACGCCGACGACGACGGCGGTGACGGTGACGCCGACGACGACAACGACGGCGGCGGCGACCACGGCGAATGCGACGACGATGCGATGCCCAGCAACATTTTGTTCGAATTGGGTCGAGCCTTAGTAGGGCCCAAATTGAGCTGGATTCAGCTATTGTAGGATTCTATTTGAGCTGGGTCGAGCCCTACTAGGGTCCAAGTAGAGTTGTGTCCAGCTACTGTAGGAATGAATTATAGTTGGATCGAGCCTGATTGGGATGCTATGAAAGATAGGTCCAGCTATCGAAGAACCCAATTTGAGTTGGAGCGAACCGTGATAGGGTTCAACTAGAGTTGGATCCAGTTATGGTAGGGTTCTCGTAGAGTAGGATCGAGCCCGCCTAGGATGAAAGTAAAGTTGGGTCCAGCCATAGTGGGATTACTTCAGAGCTGGATGGAGCCTTCGTAGGATTCATGTAAGCCTGGATCCAGCTGTATTCGTATTATATTAGAATTGAACTGGGCCCGACTGCGATGCTTTCAACATTGGATCCAGCTCTAGGAGGATTCAATAAGAGCTGGACTGAACTTTAGTAGGGTTCAAGGGGAGCTGGATCCAGCTACATAGTAGGATTGTACTCGTAGGATCGGGCCCGATTAGGATATGCTGTTCAAGTTTGATCCCGCTATAGTCGGATTTCACCAGACCTGGATCGAGCCTGAGTAAGATTCTATTGGGGGAGCGGGGGCGGGGGGCTCCGTTTCGACCCCCCCTTTTGGCACAGGCGGGGATGGGCTGGGGCCCCGCCCGGGTCGAACCTCCCTCCCTCGGCAGCTCCGGGGGGGGGGGGGTCAGGCAGACCCCCCTCCCCTTTGGACAGTACGGGGAGGGGCTGGTTCGAACCCCCCCTGCTTGGTCGGATCGAACAGTCGGGGGAGGGGCCGGTTCGGCCCTCCCCCCCCCCTCTTGGACAGCAGGAGGGAGGGGCTGGTCCGGACAGTAAAGGGAGGGGCCAGGGGGGCCTCTCCTGGTTAGAGAGGCCGGTGTCCGCCCATCCCCCGCCCCCAGTTCGCCAGGAGCGCCAGAGGTTTTGGCGGGGGCAGGTTCCGCTGTGTCGGGAGATTTTGGTCCAAGCGCACGTTCACGAAACGCGTTTCCCTAAGCGAAGGGTGCGCCGAAACAAAGGGGTGGAACCGCACGCGGACCCTGCGATTGGGGCCTTCGGTGGAGCCCCATTCAGTGCCACGAATCGTGTGAGGGTTGTGACGAAGTTGGGCGTGAAACCGCATGCTGATCCTGCCACTAGGGCCTTCGGTGGAGCTCCCTATGGTGTGACGAATCGTGTGAGGGGTGCGCCGACATTGGTGGTGGGACTTCATGCGGACCCTGCCATTGGGGCCTTCGGTGGAGTTCCTTGCGGGGCCACGGCGCGTGTGAAGGTGAGCCGACATGGGAGATGGGACCGCATGTGGACCCTGCCACTGGGGCCTTCGGTGAAGCTCCCTATGGGGCCACAGAACTTGTGAGGGGTGCGCCGAAACTGGTGTCGAGACCGCATGTGGACCCTGGCACTGGGTCGGGTTCGTTGGTGGAGCTCCTTACGGGGCCGCAAGACGCGTCAGGGGTGCGCCGAAATGGAGGGTGGAACTGCATGCGGACCCTGCCACTGGGGCCTTCGGTGGAGCTCCCTATGGTGCCACGAATCTGAGAGGGGTGCGTCGAAATTGGGAGTGGAACCGCGTGTGGACCCTGCCACTGGGCCCTTCGGTGGAGTTCCTCGCGGGGCCACGAAAAGTGTCATGGGGTGCGGACCCTACCACTGGTACGTACATTCGGTGGAGCTCCTTATGGGACCACGCAGCACATGAGGGGTGTGCCGAAATGGGGGACGATACGTATGCGGACCCTGCCCTTGGGGCCTTCGGTGGAGCTCCTCTGCGGGGGGCACGAAACATGTGAGGGTTGTGCCGGCATGGACGTGCGGAGGGCAGAGGAAAGGATGGAAGGGGCTGAGGAGGGGGAGGTGAAAGAGGAGGAGTGAGTAATGCGGGGCATTGTGTTTTCAGAGCGTGTTCCACTACTCGCAACGTGCCTACTCGCAGACGTTCGAAAACACATGTCCGCCTCGACGTAATGGATCGTAAATCCCCCGCGGCGGCTCCAGGCCATTTGCGAGCAGTTACTTGAGATTAGTGGATGGCGCTCGTCTGGTCATGATCTTCTTCGCAGCGAAAACAGATCTGGGGCCCCTCCCCTCCCCCCCCTCCCCCCCCACCCTGTGGTGCTCGGCGATGAGTACATGGGGACGAGGGTCGAGGACATCATCTTGCAGGCGGGCGCCCGCTGCGCGGGTCGGCGGGGGTTGGGCCGGAGGCGGGGGGGAGCCGAGGGCGACCCGAGGTGGCATTCTGCCCCGCCTCCCTCGTCCTCCTTCCTCCACACTGCGTCCTCATCCCTCATCATCCGTCCTCTACCCCCCACTCCTCCGCCTCGTCCTTGCCCCTCCTTGCTTCTGTCTCCCCCTCCTCGCCCGATGGTATCGGAGCCCACCGATCCCAGGGAGCCCTGGTGCGGGGAGCAACTGGCGGTATCGGAGGGCACGACGGGAGAGACACCACATCCGGTACGCAGCGCATGTTAGGCGACACCATCCGTCGCAGTATCATGGATGAGGAGTGCGACCCCTCTGACCAGGTCGGTGACGACGAGTCCTTGTGCGATACTTCCGCTGTCGGCGGCGAGAAGCCCCACAATCCCACTGCTGGCGCTGGCGTTTCAGCTGACATGATGCGGCATTCCCAGAGCAGGTGCCAACTCCAGTGACGGTTGAGGTGGGTGCCACAGACGCCATTTTTTTGGCAACATCACGCGGTGGGGCCCCGAGGCGTCGCGTGTCCTGAATTGGTGTGGGTTCCAGGCCCCAGTGCTGGCAGACACTCATGTGATACCAGATGCCTTGTGTGGGCGGAGTGGAGTGCAGTCTCGATGAGGATGGCTGGAAGCTTTCCGTCGGTCACAGCTATTCCACTGGAAGAGGAGGTTCTTCTGGTGGGGAGTGGGCGCTCGCCAAGAATCACTTGACCTCTTCTTTCGGTGACGCTCGGCAGGAGCCAGTCCCCAATAGGCAGACAGACCCATTCTAAGGCTTTTTCATCCCTCCATCGCATCGAACGAATCGAAGCTCGGGACGTCTGGGTGCCCTTTCCCAAGAGCGACCGCAATTTTGTTCGGCCGGCTGCTTCGCAATCGGTTGCATTCGGTCCGTCACTTTCGGTCGGATGTTGCGCCGAAGCAACCTTCCTCGGCTGCTTCTGGTCCGCCCGCTCCATTCCCGAATCAGTGCCTGCACTGAAGGGGTCCTAGCGGATATTGAAAGATTTGGCGAAAGTTTCCCGCCGATTTTGGTAGCCGGCTGGGTTCCGGGGTTCCCGGGTTCCAAGTTTTCAAACCATCCACTGATTGTTTTTTTTCTTTGGTGTAATTCGGTTGAGGTTTCGTTGTCCTTACGGTCGGGCTTCGGCCCTGGCAGCACCTTGGACGTGGTTCCCTCTCTTCCCGCGGCTCTGCCGGGTCCTATCCGCAGCCCAACCCCTTAGGACGGGGCGGGCCTGCGAGCTGCACCGAGATGGCTTGAAGGCCCACCCCCACCCCGTCCGCCCTCTCCGCCCCTCTCCGCCGGCAGGTGGGCCACGGAGACGTCATCCACTACGCCGACTTCGTGCACGCGATGATGGACCTCGGCTCCGGGGAGGCCCCCGTCCGAGGGTGCGGCTGGAGGCAAGGGGGTCCTTGCGGGAAGCGAGCTCTGGAGGTCCTTCGCCGTTTTCCAGTTCCCTGGCACCCACCTGGGCCGGGGGACCGTGAAGAAACGCTGCGGCATGAAGAGTCTGTCCCGGGCAGGGCTCCGGGTTCCAGGAACCGTATCCCTCGCAGGGCTCGCGTCGATCTTGCCAGATCCCGCCTCTCGGGCTGCGGCCGCCCCGGCAGCGCAATTTCCAGTTCTTGCGGTTTCTCGGTGAATCTTGCAGCTCCCGTTCCCCTCATGTATCGGGCGCTGACCGTGGGCCAGGAGGGCGTGAATCCACGAGCGACCTTTCCATATCCGTGCCCTCGCGGTCTGCACACCGAGGCGCGCTGCCATGGATGCGCGATCCCGTGGACACGTTCCGCGCGGGGCACCCGCGCAAAGCCGGCCTGTGTCCACGGCCGCGGCCGAGGAGTCCGGACGGCGACGCCGTGTGTGCGGCATGTTCTTCGCTCGCCTGGGCCCGACTTGGCTCGCCGTTCTTGTCCAGTCGGCGTCCCCGACCCCCCAACCTGGGCGTTCGCTGAGCAGCCAGCCCTGTGCTGGTCGATCTGCAAGCGGGCTTCGGTTGTGGGAGTGCTTGTCATTTTGAGGATTTTCGGTAGCAGAGTTTACCTGCTTCTAGAACACCCTGTTAGCACCCTGCGCCAGCGCAGGCGACCCCTGTCTACCCGCCGACGCAATCAGTTCCGTAGAAAGCCAGTGTCTCGGGCCTATGCCACATGCGATTCTTACTTGCTAGGCACAAGCGTCTAAAGACGTATTGGTTGTAGTTGTATGCAGACACATTCGGGGTGGATGCGTCTATAGACAACGCGGCCGCTGCGTTCGGCGTAACACAAGGTCGGAGAAAGGATATATCCAGGTGCGCCTGCGCACGGGGCACTACACATCGGAAACCGTGTCGGCACCCACGAACACCAGTACGCAATCGCGGCGGGGTAGCCATCATAGCGTCTGGTTGGCCTGCACATAGCAGGCAATGTGCCAGCACCCCACGGGACAGCTTCAGGCCCACGGGAGAGCCTCGGGACAAGCCCGGGACAACAGCGGGGCAACCACGGGATTGCGGGACAACTACGGGACACCCGGGCACGCCGCGGCAGCTTGGGGGAGAGGACGCGGAAGCAACTTGTCCCCACCTGGGGCAGAAACTCGCGCAGCTGCGCCTCTTCCGCACGCGCACCACCCACAACACGAAGCGAAGCCGACATCGATTTCCTTGCCATTCTGGGCAGCAGCTCCCGCTCCCACCATCGGAGGGGGGGCTCGATGTATCCACCACGTCGTTTGGCCGGCCGATGGTCCAATCCATTCGATGAAGGAGTTCGGCGTCCCCAGCGTCCCACATGTTGGACAGCTGGGGCATCTTTCATAACGAGTTCCTGAGCCGACCAGATGACTTGATGTAGATTTCGAGCCCCTCCCATTCGCCTCCCCCCCGTCCCCCCCGCCCCGCCTGGACCCGCCCGCAGGAGAGATGGAGAGAGAGAGAGACAGGAAGAGAGGGAGAAAGAGAGAGAGAGAGAAACGAGAGAGAGAGAGAGAGAGACAGAGAGAGGGAGAGAGAGAAAGCGAGAGAGAGAGAGAGGGGGCGCGCGAGAGAGGCGGCTCTCTGCGGCGCCGACAGCGTGGAGCGGGTGAGCGGGGCCGAACCGAGAGCGCTTTCTTTGGCGCCGCCGTCGTCGTTAGCATCGTTGCCTTCGTCGCCCTCTTCGCCGAGACCATCGTCGTCTCCGCCGTCGTCGTCTCCGCCTTCGTGGACGTGTGCGTAGTCGTCGTCGCCTTCGTCGTCCTCGCTCTCCTCGCCGCAGTCTCTCTCGTCGCTCGTCGTCTTCGTCTGCGCAGTTGTCGCCGCCGCCGTCGTCGGAGGAGCTGGAAGAGGAGCATGAAGGATGGATGAGAATGGATGGACGGGGTGGGGACAGGAAGGAGGAGGAGGTCGAAGGAAGAAGTGGAAGAGGAATGTATATGAGTAGGATAATGAGGAGGATGAGCAGGAGGAGGACGAGGATGAGGAGGAGGAGGAGGGGTGACGAAGGCGGATGGCGGAGGCGGCGTCGGGATGTCAAGTACGGGGGATGCGGGGCGGAGGGGTGGGGGGAGGATTTAGGAACAGGGTGATTGGGGGAAGGCGGATGTAGAGGGGATAAGGTTGGTGGGGTAGGGAGGGAGGAACAGAAAGCGGGAGGGTTAGGGAGGAAGGGGATGAGGGACGGAGGAGGTGAAGCAGCAAGAGGAGTGGAGGTATGGGGGAGAAGGGAGGACGAGTGGGAGGCGAGGGCTCCGACCAGCGGCTACAGCTACGCTCGCGTGTTGCGCAAAAGCAGCTTGTCCGGGGCCCGAAGCGGGCCCCCTTGTACCCGAATCGGCGAAACATCGGCTGTGCCGATTTGTTTGTTTTGTTTGTTGTCGCGACGCCGTTGGTCTGGATTCCCTTTCCAAACGCCGACCCCCAGACTTCGCCCTGAGCGTACTGTGACCAGGATCTCGAGGCGGAACCTGCAGTGGTGGCGCGGACCCTTAATTCTTGACACCAAGGACCACGAGCGCGTGTTCGCACAATGGAGCTCCCCCCTCACCGGGATCGGCCTGCGTTCCCTTGGGCTGCGACAAATTGCAGAGGAGCACCTTGCCAGCGGCAAGTTAACCATCTCCACTATAGACTCCAGTCAGGGCGGAGAGGCAGATCTAGTCATTTACCTGACCACCCGGTCCAACAGTTGGCATGACTTGGGTTTGATGGACAATCCCAACAGAGTGAACGTCGCGATCACGCGCGCCACCACCAACGTGGTCATCCTCGGGGACGGAAGGATGTTTGGCATTGCCACAGGAGCTCGCTTGCGTGAACTCTTAGAATACGGGAGGTTTGCCAAACTTTGGGTCCGCTTCGAAGGGGCCGACCTGGGCGCAAGGGTAAGGCTGCAAACCGACGAGGAGTTTGACCCCATCGAGGACTTCACCACATGAATACCTGCTGCCCCCACCCACACCGGGGACGATAGCATAACATGTCTAGACGACGCCATCAAGAAAGCCAATACCTCCATGTAGAACAGCTTTGCGGAACGCATCGCTGCACCGCTCGATCCCCTGTTCCCCTGGGACAAGCTCGGCGCAGCCATCACAGACAGCATGCAGAAGCTTGTCGACGACCCTACAATGGGAATCATCCTCTACACTGTTGCCGGGCTCCATCTCCGCCAGTGGCCCATGGGTGCCACCCCCAGGCAGTTGGGCAGTCTCGATCGGAAGGCCTGGAGCCACCTGGGGTATTGGTTGGACGTGGAGGTCGGAATCGACGCCAGCAACCTAGTATACAACCTGACGTGGGCAGCCCTGGTCTGGTTCCTAGGACTGGGCACACCTTGGCACGCAGCACAGCTGACTGTCCCGCTCACCTCACTTCCCCCGCTGCCCCACGCTGTTGGTAGCAACCGCCGCCGCCAAAGCAGGTGCACCCCCGTCGGCACGCTCCCCCAGTTCCCCGCTGCCTGGAGCCCTGCCACATGCAACTGCAAACGCCACAGGGTGCACCTTGGGATGGAACGCCTACACGCATTGCTCCGCCCCGAACAGGTCGATTCGGCTCCCACGCCTGCCCTGCGTGGAAACGACGGGCGCCCACTCAACACCCCCACGCGCAGAGTCCTCCTTGTGGTGATGATGCTGCAACTGCGGGAGCCGCGTGCTACACTCTGGTCATTCCCACATCCAGAGGCCACAGGTGACATCATAGAAGTGGCGATGGGTCTCTGCCTTCCTTGGCAGGAAGCCCACAAGGAAGCTTGCCGACTTCGCCTCCCTCCACGCCGAGATGGAGCAGGTCATTCGCCATGTCGGCACGCTGGCCACCTTCGCTCATCACCATCAGACTGCGGCGACGCACAAGTGCCCCCAGACATGGGCAGGAACGCAGGTGCACGACTTCACCTTGGAGGCCCCCATGCGCGTACTGGAAGTGATTGTCCAGCCCGCGGACGTCAACCAGCTAAGCAGTGGAGACCGCTCCATCTGCCAGCTGCACAGGGCGTTGACTGGTTCAGAAGAGGGGCTCGGCAGTCCACGCGCCATGTCAGACCTGCAGTACATAGGAGGCGGGGTCGCGATGTCCAACCGCCGCCCCGACGAGGATCTCCCTGCCTCACCAGCTCCCGGCACAGCGCTATCCCCCCCGATAGTACGGGGCGAGCGATTCTGCAGGCTGCAGAAGGATGCCAGCTACAGCTGCGACGGCTGCACCAGCACGGGATTGCAGGGAGCAGCTGGCACCTGGGAGGATGACGACACCCGTGAGCTGCTTGCGCAGAACCGCGCACAGGCATACATGAAGAGGATGAACTGCAGATGGCTATGTGAGTTGTGTTGGGTCAGGTCCCTGGAAAGAAAGGGAGTCCAGGTTCCCGACCCCGACCAGGCAGATGGCGGTGCCAAGAAGGCCATGCAGCAGCGTCTGCAGGAGTATAAGCGCAGATTGGAAGAAAACCGAGCGCGCAAGAGAGCCCGGGCCCTCCCCTCGCTGTGCAGCCTCCCGCTGGGGTTCGGTCGGCCTAACGATGCCCCAGTTCCTTCCGCCCTGAAGGACCTCGTCATGCGTGCGCCGCGCCCCTTCCAGCCATCCAGTGCCGGTACCGCCCTCCCACCCCGCAGGCTTACCGACGGCAGGTTTGGTGCAGAATCGCACCACACCCAAATGTGCTCGGCCACGTGTGACACCTGCCCCCCCGGGCACCCCTTGCTGGAATGGAAGCCGGGCTGCCCAGCCCTCGGATGCTTCATGTGGCGCCCTGGGGCAGGAGCAAGCTGCGACGAGCAGACAGGCCTCCCGCCGTGGTACGTAATGCCCTCCCTATGGATCAGGCGGCAGTGGAACGCGGAATGGGCCTGCAGGAGGTGCCTTGTTCACATCTGGAACATTGGCCCGGGCATCCTCGGCCGCGTACTCGACCACTACTCCAACGAGGTGTACCCTGCCATCCCTACCGTGCGGCAGGCCACAACAGACGTTCCCGAGGACAGTTACAACTACGACATGTCCACGCACCTCTCCCCAGGTAGCAGGGCTCCAGTCGAGGGCGCGGACGCGCCTGTCCCACCGCGCGAGGACCGGTCGGCACGGCCCCCCACTGGGCCCGGTGAACAAATGGGGTTCGGCCGATACAGACCCCATCAACTACTCTTTTCCCGACCTGCTGCCGCCCCTGGCGCCCCTGCTGCCCGCGTGCTCCGCCCTCCGTCTGGCAGGGGGTGGGTCGAGAGGCCCTGTTCGCGCCCTGGTGAAGTATCTGATCGAGTGGAGCCACACAGCCCACACCCTCTGGGCTGCCTTCGCGCAGCAACAGGGGGAGGACATCGAGGGCGATGTAACCGACGAAACGAGATGGCCCTTCGAGCAACTGCTGCCCTTCCTGGATTCAATCTACGGAGAAGAGATCCCAAGCAATGGCCATCCCCCATGCATCCCATGGGGCAGACAGAGGGCTGCGGCTACCAGGGTAGTCACACACTTGGTGGGGGGCACCCCAAAGTGCAAGGAGGAATGGGGGCGCTACACAAGCAACCTCGATAATCAGAAAGGGCAGGGCCCCTACCGACAGCCGTTGCATGTCCGCACGCTGTTCCTCACAAGGCTGGAGAACTACCCGACCAGAGGAACGATTGGACTCCTCGCCGCCCAGCCCCAGGATGCGACTGCCAGAGGCACGGCAGAGGAAGAGTCTCCTGCTGCCAGCTGGCTCAACAGGCCCCAGGGTAAGGAATCGCCCCCAACCGACCAACACGTTGGGGATCACGTCGCCCCCCCGACCCGCGCAAACGATACGCCCCAACAGCCTGGCGCACCTGTCCAGCCCGATGAGGCCCAAGAAGAGGTGCCGTCCTCATCAGAGCACTGGAATGGCGACGGCGACGTGGAAGGGATCGACTGGGATGACGATGCCGACGAGAAATCCGAGCCGGACGTCCAGGCGCACGGCAGCCCGCCGGATACCTCGGCTGCACCCGGGTCGCAGGCCAGCCCTACACATCGGGGGGGCGATGCCGGCGGCCCGGCACCCACCGATCGGAAGTCGGCCCAAAGTCCCCCCCCACTCTGGACCCAGCCCCCCCACAGGGCCGACTCGAAAGCCTGGTCCCCATTTGCGCAGGCTACCGACCGAGGGGCATCCAGGGACGCATGGAAGAGGGTCGAAGCCCGCCCCAGAGGATCGGACCTGGAGCTTTCACGCAGTCAGTGACGGCAGGACACTTTGGCAATCGGGGAACGAGGCGGGCCGCCGACCACCCGCAGTCGACGAAGGCAGCGCCAGAGGACACTCAGCCACGCCGCCTCGCAGCGCACCCAGGCCGCGGCACAGCGCCCAGAGCCGGTGGCGCGACGCACGGGCCGCAGCAATCCCACCAGCGCGCCCTGATGATCCCATGGGAGGCCCCCCGATGTACTTGAGACCCATCGACGATGCAGACGTCACAAGGGGCGAGCCGGCACCAGATAAGATCACACGAATGCAGGAGAGGCTGGGAGGCGCGTTTAATGGGGCCTGGAGCGCCTGGGTCAGAAAGGGAGCCTATAGGCAAGGGGGCGCCTGGGCCAACATCAAGTCCGACCCCGGGCGAAACACGGTACAGCAGTGTGGCG